ACACACACACACACACACACACACACACACACACACACACACACATGTGCGTACACAAACACATACCCAGGCTGGTAAGTTTCATGTGGTCAATAACCATGAGAACAAGTGCACCACAACTGCTCTGAGAAGAACCTATTCAGCACCCCAAAGCCTGAGTGACCCTCCCAGAATGGGTCCAGATAGTGGTCAGCTCTTACCCGCTGCTTCTCTGGGTCCACAAAACGAATGCCGAAGTAGTCCTTCTCCAGCAAGCTGTAGTAGTTGCAGATGTGGTCAATAAGAAACTGCCCTTTGGTCTCCCTCTGCAAAAGAAGCACATTTATGTTTCAGCCAGAGTTTGCCTTGTACATTGATGTCTAAAATGTGCCTCATTCACTCTAATACATCTGTGCTAAGACAGATGAATTCACTCACCCTGCTCTCTGGAGCAGGAGCTTCCAAACTCTTAACTGCAATCCACAGTGAGAAATTCATTTTATACTGTAAGCCATTACACACACACACACACACACACACACACACACACAACCAAAGGAACACCAAAGGGGAACCAAAAGGATACCAAACAATACCCTGCCTAGGTGCAACACACTCTACTATGTTCTATTTTATCCTAGCATATGCCATTTAATTTTTCTAATGCTATTTATGATTCAGAACACTGATTTCACAACTCAATACCTAGTAGAGATCCACAGTTTGTAAAACCACACACGATTCCAAATACAATGCACCTGGCTGCTTGCTTTAACTGCTCATTCAGTCCTCACAACAATCCTGCAAGGAAGGTCCCATTTATATCTGAAGAGAGGCTCAGTGGCTTACCCAAAGTCACACAACATGTATGGAGCAAAGCAGGATCTGATCCAGGTCACCAGGCTATAGAATCCAGGCTCCATGCCACTTTGCCTTTCTGGAACAGTGGTTAATGTACTGTGACCCTGCTAGAACACAGGGTCTAGATGGTATGGAAATGCAATGAATGTATCAGATAGAACACCCCAACTCCCACCAGGAAAGGTGGAAAACTTGCTGCCTCAGGCCTCACAGCCTCCATATCACACCCATAAATCAACATAGAAAGGCACTGAGGTAGACTGGAGCGGGGAGTCCAGGACTGGGATTCAGAGACAGGTCTGGGTGACCTTGAGCAAACTCCCCAGCTGTTTCCACATCGGTAAAATGAGTTGGTTGGACTAGATTTCTAAGTTGGCTAGATTATTTTTCCTTCTAAAACTCTATGAGTAAGAGAAGTATTAGCCAAATCTGATTAAGATAAATACCATTACAACAAAACTCCTTAAGAGCAAAGACCCTTCCAAGCCCTCATCAGGACATTTGATAACTTTCTGCTTCAATCAAAGTTGCTGACAGACCCATGGAATGTTTTAGGGATGGAATGTGACAAAAATAAATGAAGAAATCAGAGACATTAAGTGAAGCCACTCTTCCAATCCACTAAAAATAATTTTGGAAGATCAGTTCGGTCTATGCTACCTGGTTATCTTTTCTTTAGAAACCACTACCACCAGCTTGGGGAGTTGACGCTGGCCCGGGATGCACCGCACTGAACAAAGGACTGGGGCTTATAAGCACATACTGTGATATGAAGCCTCCATTTTCCTGAAATCACTTTTGAGTATAATTTTGGATGAGCTTCGAACCTTTACTTTCTTTATAAAAGAACCCATTTGACGTAGCTCACAGGGAACAAAACATCAAAATGGAACTTGTTTTTAGATTTCTGTAATTGTTTTTAACCCAGAAGGCTCAAACGACAAGCTGTATCTGATGACAACTAAATTCAATGCCCAGAATATAATCAATGGATATAGTTCCTTTCATAGATTTATTCTGCAACCCATCCATCTGAGAGGCTGCTGCAGGATCAAATCACTGAACATAACGTGTGAGTTCATCATTTTATGATTGGATTGCCAAGCTCTCCAAAGCAGAATTTACTATGGTGGACTACCCCCAACATATGCAAGACACACAAGACATGTGGGTTAAGGCAATGCCTTGTAATGATGTGGGACCTTGATTGTGTATGACAGCTACTGTGCCCTGAAGAAGATGTAGTACTCCGATGCACAACAAAGATTATTTTTTTTAATGATTAAACACAGCAACCAATATATACTCTACAGCAATATCTCAGACTACCTAAGATCCTTGAGAGAAGGAAATACCACAGCAGACAATGTAATGACTGGATAATACAACTGCGTCTGAAACAGGGGTCAATGCCTTCTGCAAAAGCAGGTGAGGCCAGTTCCCATGGGTCCAGGCCACCAGGTGGGTTCCAGGTCTCTGCTCCTCAGAGCACCACCCTCAGTCCAGCAATACTGTAGCAAATTCAGCATCACCTGGGAGGGAGCTTGTTGGAAACACAGAATTTCAGGCACTGTCCCAGACCAACCTAACCTGACCTGCATTTCCCTCAGTTATTCATATGCTCATGCAAGTTTGAGAAGCATTGGTCTAGAGGAATTTTCCCAACATGGGAAAAGTGCAAAAATTGTACCTGTCTCCAGAGCCCACTAGGAAAAATGCCCATTTTCCCGTGAGAATTGTCCATTCCTCAACTCAGAAAAATCAAAGGTTTTTCCAGTCTAGAGAACACAAACTGCCCCTGAACCTGCAGGCTGCCAGTCAACCTCATCATCTCGAGATGCTCTATGTCGCTGCTTCGTGCCAAGGAAGCCAGTTTACAGCCTCACGTTCTGCTCTGTTCCACTCCTGCCTGGAGAGCTGGACAATGTTCTTAAGTCATGTAAGTACCTATCATTATCATTTCTGTGCATTAAGCCCAGCTCTTGCACTAAACAAAAGGCCACCCAGGCCCAGTACCAAGAGTTGAAAGAGTTTGTTCAGGTATGTTATGTGAGGGTGCAGAATCCAGCTGCCAGCCTCACACATCTCACTTCAGGGAAGGAGCTTGGGGGTGAGCACTGGTTCTTCCCCCTACCTCCCACTGCTGGAACTCTGTTGAACTAACCCAAAGCCTCCACTCACTTCCTCCTGGTGTTTCTGAGGGGAGAGGCCATTGTTCACACCCTATCCTGCCACCTAAGCCAGTACCTGGCACACTGAGTGTGATCGAATGAATAAATGGGGCACTGCTTTCTCTCATGAAAAACTTGGGTTCTGGAAACTAACAGTGAGCCTCAGGTAAGACAACACAGTCCTCGTGTTAGAGACTCCTCAAACTTAGTACAATTAGCCAGCCTTCACCCTAATCCATCAAGGTCTACATGGAGAAGTGCTAACCAAAGATTTCAAGTATAAGGACTTCTTTTTAATGTCAAAATTTTGTTGATTCTCCGACAAGATATTAGTTATATTTCCAGTACCAACTGAAGAGGGAAGAAAAATCAAATAGCTAATATAACTTCCTTAGAGCTGTTACCCAAGTTGTGTTTTATTAATCACAACAGCATTTCACACATGTGGAAAACAATAGGGCACAAATGTGTGAGCAGGGCCTCCTACAGGGGTCAGCTGGATGTTATGCCTCAAGGAAGTGCCTGAAGTATAGACTTCTTCTTTTAAACATCTTTATTGCAGTCTAATTGCTTTACAATGTTGCGTTAGTTTCTGCTGTTTAACAAAGTGAATCAGTTATACATACACATATATCCCATATCTCTTCCCTTTTGCGTCTCCCTCCCTCCCATCCTCCCTATCCCACCCCTCTAGGTGGTCACAAAGCACCGAGCTGATCTCCCTGTGTTATGCGGCTGCTTCCCACTAGCTATCTATTTTACGTTTGGTAGTGTATATATGTCCATGCCTCTCTCTCACTTCATCCCAGCTTACCCTTCCCCCTCCCCGTGTCCTCAACTCCATTCTCTAGTAGGTCTGCCTCTGTATTCCCGTCCTGCCCCTAGGTTCTTCATAAACTTTTTTTTTTTTTTAGATTCCAGAAATATAGACTTTTGATGCCATCTCTAAATGAGGTTATACAATCTCAGGGCTGAAAGAATAATTTGTTCACCATACATAGTTAAACTGGTGTCCCAATACTGGCTCTCGCCACCTATAGTGCACAGTGAATTGACATTTTTATAAAGACTATACTAAAATATTGTAAATATAGTTGTAATATATTTAATGTGTTAAAAATCTAAACCAATCTAGCCAAGGTGTGGTCTGTGGACAGTGCTGGAATGTAAAATCTTTGTTACCAGTCTTTCATAAGTGGAGAAATTAAGAGTAATTTATTTTATTGTGTTTTCTACAAGTATTAGCCCAAATCAGATTGGGGGAACAAGATCTAGTTCTAGTTTCTCACCACAGACAGTTTGATGTGCTGATGTAAACTGGGCTGCCATGTATGAGGGTTTGGTTTGGGATTTCTTTACCCCAGAAACCTCAAAGTATGAAGGGGGCTAGGCCCTCTCTCCATCGTCTTTGTCCAGTTTTTGTGGACAATTCTTGGTATGCGTGTGGATCCCTGAACTCCTTGCAATGATCCCACATTCTCTCAGCGTTCTCTCCCACAGACTGGAAAGGAACCTAATTTTTGTAATCACAAACCAGACTATTTTTCAGAAAATCCCATCTCTCCTCCCCACCCCAAAGCATGTATTAGAAAGCCTTAAGCAAGTCATGAAATCTCTGAGGCTTAGTTGCTTCTTGTATGAAAGGGGAATAACAGTGATAACTTCCAAATCTACCCCACCAGATTATTTTGAGGCTTATTCACATATTTGTTAAGCATCTGTTATACAGCAGGCATTGGGATAGGAATTAGAGAAAAAGAGTGAGCAAAACACAATTTATAATCTCACAGACCTTAAAACCCTGTGGTTCGTAAAATGTGAAAGCATTTTTGCAAACTGCAAAGCACGATACCAATGTAAGATGCCATTATTAATACTATTAAGAATTATCGTCATCTTAAGTCTCTGTCTCCAGTTTCATAGATCAAGATATAAAGAAGTTAAGAGGAATAGTGTTGACCTCCCAGAACTGGCCTGTGTGGGTGAGAAAGTGAACAAAGAGACAAAGAGCTCATTATTTTTGCTTAACTCCTCTGGCAGCCAATCGCTGGTGATTCATTTACTTCAACTCCCTGGTTCAATGGCAAAGCTAAAATAACAACAAATTTGTGCTTAAAGAAAAAGAACAAGCAAAGTCAACTGGCTAAGTCAGCCATGGCTTGTCTTCATTGAAAAAGTATGGCAGATTTTAATCCTTAATTCCTAAAACACTAGGTCAAGATGTTTGTTTGTTTGGCTGGAAGTAGTCCTTTTTTATGTAAAAATTTTAAAAACTTGTATTGAAATATAGTTGA